AGCCAGAGGCGGCGGTGATCTGGGATAGGACCCAGTCGTCGTACGCGGAAGTTCTGGTGTACTGGAAAGCGCCTTTGCACTTCGCAGCTTGGGTCTTGGCGCGAGAGAGGACTCCCGACACGTAGGCTGTGGTTCCGTATTTGATCACCAAGGGTCCGCCGCTGTCTCCCTGCACGAGGTAAGGGGCAGAAAGGACAACGAAAGCTTATTTTGAGGAAGGAAAATACTCCGAGCATGATTTCGATTTCACTTCATTGACATGTAATTGAAAATGTGAAATAAAATCAACAAAAACAAAAGGAACGAAACGGAAGTATTATTTTCCAGCTTTCCTCTTAATTTGCATTAAAGGCTTTCCAGCCCAAATATGTCAAATTTTGGGTACTTCTGTTGCGCGTCCGACAAGGACTTGCTTGCGAAAATCCATGCATGATTACCTCTGAGGTATGAGAAAACCCCAAACGCTCGAGCACAAAAGGTTCCCGAGAAATTCATCCCCAAAGTTGGCTTCCCTTGGGAAAAGTGACCCCAAGTGGCATAAGGCAATCTTTGACATTAATCGAGCTTAAAGGAAAAATAATTTTTTTGGAGCCGAAATGGAAGCTGAGGCTTACATTTATATATTATATTTATATATTTATATTTAATTGCTGCATTGTTCCGTAGTTTTGTGTCGAGGAACCTATGGATTTTTCAACTTAAAAAAACTCCATGATATACATTAAAATTCAAACTATGGAAATCGCAGTAACACTTTGAGCTTTTGCACCGTTGCAATACCGGCCAACAACAATAGAAAATGACTAAATTCCACTCATTGCTTGGCTTGAAACACTGAGGAATTGAATTCAGAAAGCACCATTTCCCCCATTTTTCACTCACTTTGACGGCCGATATTCCCTGCTTCAAACGAGATAATGACTTGAAACGTGTGACAAATGCAAGCGCCTTCCATGCGCTTTTTTCCGGGTTGCACGACTCATGGTGTCAATTTGAAATGTTGAGTTTTCGGGATTCTTTTTAAATATTAGGTCTCGCCATTTTTATTTTGAAATATTGTACAAAAATTCCTAACAGTGGGGATCCTGGTGACGTAACCAGGTCTGGGTACACTTCGACCGAGACTATGGACGGCTTCAGTTCCTTTTTCGCACTCTATTTCAGTCGTCAGCTAATTAACATACGAAATTATGGCCAAAAATAAACCGACACCCTTCGGTTCATTTTTCCCGAGGGAAGCCAGATATCTCGGGACCCGTAGGTGCCAGAGCGCTAACCTTTGCTCTTTTTTTTTAAATAACACGTCCGGGACGCTGTGGATCGATCAGCTCGATGACATTAAACCCGGCGAAACTTTTTTGAGAAAGGAAAATTGAGAAATATATTTTCTCGTCTTGGTGAAATGCCTTCGGCAGCACACGGATAGGATGAGGCGGATTTCGAGAACGCGAGGATGCTGCAAAACGTCGGCGAGGCAGCTCTCAAGGATGGGTCGAGGGACCTTCGTAACGCACGGAGAAAAATGGTCGGTTTTTCCCTTGGAATCTTTTCTGTCCTCAGCAAAGCAGGAACGCACACAAAGGGACATGCTTCCTAGGTTATGGCGTTATGTCGTAAAATTCCTTGAAAAGGTGCAGATGCAAAATGGTTACATGTGTACTCTTCCCGTGTCTCATGGAGGTTTCTTAATGGGTCGCCTATGCAATGTTCCGTTCATTATACTGAATTGTACCGTACCGATTGCCCTGAATCTCGATCTACAAGCGTTCAAGATCGCTTCGAGGCTACGTGACGTTTCAATAGTCGTCCAGAAGGGAGTTGAAGTTGAAGGAGAAACACGTGATATTTTATCCGCTTTGAAGGCGCATGCGTTTTAAGATCAAGAAATACTCCGAAAGAGGCAGAAGTGATAGACAAGGAGTGGTTCCCATGAGTTTACGCATAAGCAAGAGTCGACTAGCGTATACGTCAGAAGTACCTGGATCTGCAGCGTACCGATATCAATGTCTGGACCACTTCCATACAAAGGCACGGACGGAGGTACAGATGAGGACCCGACTGACAAAATATGTAGGTCTTATGTTCGTACTCACTTTGATGCACTTTCATGAAATCTTCCTTTCTTTGAGCCGGGCATGCATTCAATAAAATGAGATGGATTTGAAAATCGTAATGTTTGACACTTCAATTCCATCCACGTTCGGGGCCCCAGGGATTAGAATTTGTATATTTAGAAAGTAATTCAGCGCTGATTTATTCGCAAATCCCGCGAGACCCCACGTCGAAACTAGTAAACCAGTGACTGGCGAATATGGAGGGTGGGTGATACTTACGTTACAGGGCCCACTGGCCTTGGGACTTCCCCAGACGCAGAGTTGATAGTTGTTGATGCCCTTGCAATCGTTGTAGGTTTGATCAGACACTACGACGTTCAGTTTCTGCACGTTCTTGGGAAGTACTTTCTTGACGAGATCCACGAGGTTGAGGGCCCCCCATCCGTAGACTTTCTCGTCGCATCCGGACGTGGCCGATCCCACGCTGTCCGACGTCGGGTAGCAGAGCGGCTGGATGGTCGGTCCGAAGGTCAGCGGTGTGGGCAAGTGCACCAGGGCGATGTCGTTCCCGGCAGCTATATTGCCTGAAAAGGAGGGCGAAGTGCGATCCTAGCGTCTGAGTTCTGGCGAGCTTTCCCTCCTTCCATTCCCACCAAGAGAGGGAATCGAGTGTAATTTTTTTAATTTCCTGTGGATTTGCTGTATAGTGTCCTTGATGTCTTAGTCTTCCAACTACCTAAATATTTCAAACTTTTCGGAAAATATGTGGAATATGTACGTCGATCTGAATTCTCTACTTTTGTCGTAATCAACTTTTTACATTGACTACTTGAAAATATATGGCATCGCACAGCTATGGGGAAGGCAGGAGCTGCAGAAATGCTTCCCAGCGATACATTTTCCAAGTTCTTTATCACTAAATAAATTGTATTTAGTGAATTTCGTATTGCCAGAAATTATTTTGTGTAAATTGCGTCTCTGCCGCTTCTACAAGGAAAAATACGCAATCATTCTGGGTTTTAATGACGATAATGATTAATGATGAAGGATAGGGCTTCCAGAAAGGTGCACCCGCAAAACATTTATGGGACTGTTTTATTCCAACTGAACAAATTTTGAAGGGATTTAACGCTCTACCGATCCAGAATAAGAACTAATGAAAGTAATGGAGTTTCCTGATGACCTTGACCACTCCTTTGAGTCTAGGAGGCAGATGGTCCCGAGGGTCGAGTTGCTTTTGCGAAGCTCGAAATAGGTTCATAATATCAAATCGGTGCATTATTGAGCCGTAAATCGAGAATCCGGCCTATCAGGGCCTGATGACACTCCTCATTTAACATGATTCATTTTTATTTTTATTTCGAGTCATTCGTTGAGTATAAGGGAAATTGATAGTCCCAATGACAGAGGAAAGCCTTTCGGCAATCGCTTTCACACAACCGCAAGTTTCATGAGGTAAGGATGCTTTACTTAATATTTTTTTCCCAAGAAATTAGATCTTACTTGGGATGTAGTTTGGATGGATATAGAAGGCATCCGAAACGATGACCGACCCCGCCGTCCAGTCCACGTTCCCCACGTGGACTGTCGCGCCGCTGAGGCGGGTGCTATGAAGGGAATGAAATGGCTTAGTCGGGGATGAAATGGCTTAGTCGAGCGGACCTGTTCCCACTATCCCCACACAAAACTCCTCTTTTCAGCGCAATCGTATTCATATCGTGTTAGTGCTCTCCACGGGTTTAGGGAGTTATTAACCA